CCCCCCCATTTTATGGCCAGGATATCATTCTTCAGTTCCTCGGTGATTGGTATATTTTAACTAAAGGATCGTGAAACATTTTAATTGCTGCCAGTATGTAACATGAGCTTTCAAAGCACAAATAGATCCTCAAAACCAATTAATATTATCTTCCGCATCAAATCAAACCAGTGAAATAAAACCAGTGTCTCTGAACTTTGTTGTTAACCTATTTAGTTATTTTTCCTATTGGTTTACTCTAACCAAGCTCTGGTCTACAACATGTCCCTGCCTATCGTCGGCTTCAGTTGTATCGAAAATGAAATGAAGGGGAGGTGACTGGTTACAAAAATCAATCATTAAACTAACAAAAATACAACGCAATAATAGAAATATATTTTATATATATGAATATATATTTACATTTGGTGTGGCAAAGCCCTTCTATATTACTACTAAAGTACTGCCAATAGCAGCTTCATCTTATGAGACTATAACTGAAGTTGGTCTTTGCACCTCCGAGCGACTTAACAGTGTCACTACCGAACATATCGGTATCTTCTGCTTTGAACCCGAACACCAGCTGACTGTCTCAAGTGTCTGTGTGATCAACAAACAATTTTACGCCTGGATTTTTCACCAATCAACCTTCTCCGGTTGCACGATCAACATCAACAACATGCCGGACTGTAAATATAACTCTGACCTGATTACTGCGGGCTTCCGTTGAGTTCGTGCGCCGGATATAGGTCGCAATAAAATCGGAAAATGTTTTACGACACTTCATTAGTTACTTAAAAAATGTCATTTGTTACTATTTATGAATCGAGAATATGATATATATATAAATCAAAATCAAATGAATTATTAACGAAAGTTGCGGAGTCTTTTCAATTTTGTATGGAAAATAGCGCATGACGTCAGCTGTTATCTTTTTGCCGTTCTAGATACTGACCTGACCAGACGGTAATAAGCAGGAAATTTGAAATTTGGAAAAGACAATATTTTTTTTTTTGCGAATTCTCATTATGGATATATAAATATAAGCAATAAACTGCATAGATGTGGCAGACCAACTGGTATAACTGCCACATGTGTCACAGACAAAATGTTTCGGTGCTAAGCACCAAATAATCAGACATGAACAATCATAATTGAATAAGGTTATAAGTATTTGTTAAATAACAATCGCACGTATACTCATTAACTGATTTTTCTATATATGTGCAAATAAAATATTGTAACAATCACAATTTACAACAGTATTATTAAGAAATGTTTTATGCTTTCTACCAAACAACCATAGGATAGGCAATTGAGCCAATACTGAGAACTGAAAAAACAGATAGCACGCTGACGATTAACAGTAGCACACAGATAATATCGAAATTAACACATTTGACGTGGTACAGTTTTTAATCTCGTTTTTGTGACAATTGAACATTTGATAGTCGCGACTTTCCAGAGTAGAACTCAGCAGCATTCCTTCCAGACTCAACTGTAAATAAAAATACATAAATTAGGGAACCTCGGTTGAACATTCCTCACATAGTATTCTTATATTTTTGAAGAGACAAGAGGCCCAATGGGCCTGCATCGCTCACCTGGTATTGATAGCACAACTATAACCTTAAAAGTAGACTAAAATAAAACTACAGGAAAAGGATCAGTGTCTTGACTCTATGTCATTCAAAACAAGGACATTTGGTTGGACAGAGTGTATAGCCTTCCATCCAAGCTTCTGGCCGAATATCATTACTCTGGACCTTTTGGTTATTCAGAAAAGGTGATATAACGTTTTAAACATATTTGACCCCTGTGACCTTGAATATGAGTGAGGGTCATTCGTTTGAACAAACTGGGTAGCCCTCTATCAAAGCATGCTTCTGGCCGAATATCATTACTCTGGACCTTTTGGTTATTCAGAAAAAGTCGATATAAGGTTTTAAACATATTTGACCCCTGTGACCTTGAAGATGAGTGAGGGTCATTCGTTTGAACAAACTGGGTAGCCCTCTATCCAAGCATGCTACTGGCCAAATATCACCATCCTAGGCCTCTTGGTAATTGAGAAGAAGTTGTTTAAAGGTTTAAAAACAATTGACCCCTGTGACCTTGAATATACGTCTATCGCACTAAAACATGATATTCTAATGAGTATCAAGGTTTAAAGCTTGTTTCAGTCCTTTAGATTGTTAGTGGCCCGCATTTATCCTGGATTCGACTAGGGACGTCACGGTGGGTGCAACGTGTGGCTGGGTTAAACTTTCAACTTTCATATTTTCTGTTATGTCGTTGATTGTAATGTAACCTTAATCGCTGTCACCGTTCTCGCTCCGGATAGGTGACATTACTGTAATTTGACATACAACGCGGCTGTTGCTGATGAAGAAGAAGACGCTTACCCTTCAGGAACACCTGGGCCCGTATTCATGAAACCATGCTCATGCTCAAGCATGGATTCTGTGTTCAAACTAACTTCCTTTTAACTCGCTTAAATAATGTCAAACGATCAAAATGTCAAATGTAAACATTGTAAACAGTTTCGGCGTTAGGTATTTTCAATGTTTTTCTAAATCATTGACAAAATATGATATTTCATTAATTTATAACGTGAACAAGAAATTCGGCTTGAGCACAATATCCATGCTTGAGCATGAGAACGGTTTTATGGTCTTAATCAGCTTGTACGTTTGAAGGACATCTATGATATATTTTTTACCTATTTCTTTCAAGTTTAAATAGTACACGTGTAAGCGGTCACAGGCATATTGCACAACCCCTACAATAACGTCACTCTTGATTAATACTTACCTTTGTCACTCGAGGTTGTCATAGCAACGAGGTCATTTTGTTGCCTAACGACGGGCAACCGCAGCCAACGTTGATGGGTTCTGTAGAGTTACACTGCTGACCAGGAAAGGCAGCGCTCCGATTAGGATGCCAGCTGAAACGATAAACCAGGAAGGAGAATACTCTGTAATTTTGGTCAGACAATTGGTTTGGAAGCTTCTACGAAAAGCATTTTTGAGTACTGAGTACAGCTCATTTTACATTTGACTATTTCTTATTATCAAAAGTATCAAGAGTGACTGCAAAAATTGGGAAGTGTCTATACAAGAAGAAGCGATACGGGGAACTTTTTGTTTGCCTCAGACTTACTACTCCAGCAGTGTATTCAACTTTCCTTTTTATGCGGAGGAACTTTTTATCACATACCTGTTGAATCTTGTTATAGTAATACAAGCAATTTTCAGACCACAACGTTCTGTATTGCACATGTGCAATACGGAATGTTGTATTTATCTACTAGCCGGAACTACTTTTTATGGGAATCCCCTTGTCATGGCGAACTGTAAGGTTCCCGGTATTTGCAAAAAATATCAAAGTTTATAAAATCTTTGTATCGATCTCTACCAAATACGGTCGGTATGTGATAAAAGCAAGACCACACTCATTTATTGCGCGGACGTATATATTCACCCGTGCACTCCGCGCACTCGTGAATATATTCGTCCGCGCAATAAACTCGTGCTTTCTGATTCGTTAGAAAAACACAAGTGTGTGGTCTTGCATATATATATACAATGGTGAGCTTCTTTATTAGTTATTAATAGATATAATGTTAACCGGTTATGTTTAATTTTTCGCCTCCGTAATGATGGCGAATATTATAAGACTCTATTTTACACCTTTGGGCATGAAGAGTATTTTTCTCTCATTTCTACTGCCAGAATAAGCTCAGAAACCATAAAAATGCGATTGGACTGGCTACCATTTTGAAAATATCAACTTTTCCCCTATGCTGTTTAGACGAAAACGAATTTGTCAGCGATATTGAGCATACCCCATGTCATTATGCAAACAGATTTAGTGCAGAAAAAATAATCGCATCTTTCATTCGTGGAATGTAAATATTTCAGGAAAGGTTTTAATTTCATCACGTCGCCTTTTCCGCATTGCGACTTCAGAGTTTTTTTCAAACTGGTGACGTCACGTGAAATGGGGTGTGAGATAGAAATTTCCTACACCCCTTTCTTACCCTGGAAGGCTCTACCTTACACACACAGGAATGAGAAAATTTATATATAATCTTACCTGTTGTCAGGATATTAAAACCACAAACAAACCAAACAGTACCTTATTATATAGTATACTATGTGTTACATTTTCTAGTGTCATACTCACGTACTCTTACACTCGGTTCTATGTCAACATCATAGCTTTATGTTATACTTACCTACTCTT